ATAATAATAATAATAATAATAATAATATTAGACATTGACACAAAAATACATTTTCTGGAAATGTGTGAAGTCCAGACTGAACATGGTAAACACTTCTTTTCAACATGGCAATATGCAGTCATAAGCGATGCTCTTATATGTAAGAAATATATATATGAATAATATATATATTAAATGTTTTGGATCTGATTACCAAAACTGTTCAGTGTTAAGTAGTTACTGTGGATAGTGAGACATTTCTGCACTCACATGCATGCTGGAAGAAAGCTTCTATACTTGTGATTTAGCCTGAATTAAAACAAATGTGCACCTTTATCTGTTAAAAAAGCAAAGGGATGTCCCTAAGCATCCAATGAAGCTACATTTACTGCGTCAGTAGTTCTGTTGCATTGAAATTGTTGTATACCAGCCTGTAATGGGATCTTATGGAATGTTGTGAATGAATGTGATCCCTCAGAAGTGATTTCTAACCAGTTTTTTATCTGTAAAACAAACTGCAAACAGTGGTACTCTGTTCCACCTGTACAGATCTACTGGTAAACATCCCAGTGCATGCAGATTTAATGTAACCAAAGTTAAATTGCAACCAACAGCATCTGCAATCATCTATTCTTAATGTCACACAACCTCTCTCTGCTTATTTTTTCTCAACCTTTTTCTATTGCACTAGCTGTACTTACACAGCCCAGCTATGTTTCTTTTGATTCTGCATATTTCATTCATTTTCATTCATGTATTTAAATCATTGAAGGTATGCACTCCTTTCATAGGGATGTTGAGAGTACAGTTAAAGCAGACAACAGTAGACACAGTTACGGTCAAAAACTGTTTCTAGTTTGCAATCACCAGCCCATAAGTGCGTTCCAAAAGTATGGTGCACAAAAACTAACCACAGTTTTGTCAAATGTAAAGTTGCACATTGGACAGCACTTAAGTGAGTTTAATAATAATTATAGGACCAGTTTATTTAGGATGTAATATATCATTGGAATTTGCCAACTGGTGCCTGTTTCATCTTCCTATTAGAGATGACCCGTCAATCTTTTCATACAAAGTGCAATAACAAACAAACTAAGGGTGTGCTGTGCTTGTGTGCTGTGAATAAACACATTTCATGTTAAACAATTTCCTTTGAGTTTGCAAAACTATGCAAAAATCATGTCTAAAAAAGTTAGCAGAAAATTCCTCTTTTAATTAAGACTTTTGCATTTCCTTATTTTGCTTCAGAACCAAATGATGACAAGATTTGTATCTTGTGTTTGTGTGTTCCCCCTCCCACTGTCGTGAAAGTGGTCTTAGCCTACCTGAGAGGTCAGTTGGCCGACATTGGTGTGACCTGACATCAGCCTTCTTTTGTGTCTGCACTTTCAACAACTCCCCAACTCACAATAAAACATTCACTGCTAGTATTGGTGACTTCCATACTTCATTATTATATTTTTTTTTCAGGGGGTTGCGTGCAGTATTTTCTCATTTATGATGTAATAAAAACAGATGTCCAAACTCTCCACTGTAAAAAACTTTAACTCAAATATGTCAACAACATGAAACAAAAATGTTGATGCTAGTTTATACAATATTAAAATTTCTGTTAAGAAAATGATTGCGAATTAGGACATTTTAAGATAGATAATACTTCATTTGCATATATGAACATACCATTTAAGAAAACTTGTAATCCAAAAAATCTTTGCCTTAGTGAATTCACCTGGGGAAGTGCCATGATGATATCTGTTATAAGTTTTGCCCTACACGCCTTTAGGGACTTCCCTTAAAATTAGGTTCACCTTCTCCAGCTGTAAAATTAAAGTGATGACCACACGAATTCAAGATTCAAGATTCAAGAGTTTTATTGTCATATGCACAGCAAAACAGGTAGTTGTACTACACAATGAAATTCTTACTCTGTTCAATCC